AACAGTAAATTCGTTTTGGCAATTTTCGAGAAAGAGAAGTTGTAACATTCGCGGTAATTTGCCCGAGCGCTACTCTATGTGAAGGAAAATTACTGGAGAAAGTTTGTTCATACATGGAACACAAGATAACGCTTATATGTTCATCTTAATGCCAATCGTGTAAATAATTATCGATAAGATGCTTATGATAAGCCGTTGTTTGTTTACCTTTAAGCTTTGTGTGTGCCCGTGAAACAGCCGATAAGCGCACACACATTTCTTGTACATCCCGACATGCGAAAGTGTTTCTCTATATTTCATCGAAGTTGTTCACAATACTGATCCATCCACAGAGTTTGTAATGTAGTCAAATGTTTACAAACACAAGCCCAGCCATTTAGAGCTCATTTCTAGTTAGTGATGTCAGAATTTACCGGCATTTTGGAATGGATGTGTGAGTGGTCTTTTCCGGAAAAATTCCATAACGTCCTCACCTGTGTGAACAGCGCTTTTTTGAGTTTACCGGTAAAGTCATTCCAGAAATTTTCTGGATATTTACCGGTATCACTGTGTGAAAGGGGCTATTGACCCTAAGTACACAGCTAAAATAAAGAGTGGCTTTAAAACAACTCCCTGACTGTTCTTGAGTGGCCCAGCCAGAGCCCTGACTTAAACCCAATTGAGCATCTCTGGAGAGACCTAAAATGGCAGTCTACCAACGTTTACCATCCAACCTGACAGAACTGAAGACGATCTACAAGGGGGAATGGCAGAGACCCCCAATAATAAATTAATTTGCAAAAATGTTAACAATTCTGTGTTTTTCTGTCAATATGGGGTGCTGTATGTACAATTAAGAGGAAACAAATATTTTCTTAAATGATTTTAGCAAATGGCTGCAATATAACAAAAAGTGATATATTTAGGGGTCTAAATACTTTTCCATACCAACAATATACATAATATTTTTGAACATTGAAAAGATTCACTTAAAGTCAGGATGGATACTTGGATAGTGAGTGCATCTGTTTGACATAACAGTGTCTAATAAAGACAATAATGAACTTCATAACCATGTCTGACTGACGTTCTGGAAAACCTGCCTTAAACTGTAGTTATTCAGCAGGGAGAGTGTGGTTTTATCAGCCTGTCGTCACTCCGTGGCCCCACAGAGAGTAGACGGCAGTCAGTCATCAGTGAGTTCTGCATTATTGATCGGTAGGCCTTCAGACCACAGGGTCTGGCTCTATTGATAGTGATTGATCGTCTAATATTGATTCGCTATGTTGAACACGAGGGTCTGATGGTCATTCAACTTAAAGGAATCAGACTGAGTGCTGCAGGTGCGCTTCAGGGACATCAAGAATCCCATGTCATCTTAGTACTCAAACTAATTTGTGTCAGTGCTGCACTAAATTGAAAAGTGTAATGCTGTATCCAAAATCACCTATATACCCTCATTCACTATTCCTTATATTTGTCAACTAGTATAATCCTCTTGAAGGAGTGAATGAAATGAGTGAGTGAGTGAGTGAGTGAGGTGAGTGAGTTTGAGCACTCCTGAAGGTATGCTGTTGTATTTGTGCTTCACTGGTTTATAAATGATTATATTTTAAACCTCTTGGTCAGACCCTGTCATAGTTATTCAACACTCAGCTTGTTTTCTCTCAGTAATGAAACAAAGTATTTTGATTTTTGTCATGCATACAAGCATTGCTTTAACTAAATAATGTTTTATTTGGAAACCTACACCAATAGGATTGCGCTTTAAATGACATCTTGTAATCAAATGCGGAAATTAATTCACCACGTAAACTGTCACAGTGTATTATGGGTATTTTCTAGCTGTTGAGTGTATTGGGTTTTAGATTCATTATTACGAAGTATTCTGGGATTAATTGAGTGCACTTAATCTCCACTATGATGTCGGACACCACTTGAAATGGCTGCTCAAGGGTATAGGGGCAATTTTGGATACAGCCTTAAAATTGCTACCCTTTTAATTCCAATCGGCTATTGCATATTATATTCATTATTACACCTATATTCGTATTATAATCTACATCATTGGTGCTCAACCCTGTTCCTGGAGATCTACCTTCCTGCAGATTTCAGCTCCAATCCTTATCAAACACAGCTGAACCAATTAATTAGGACCTGAACTGCACTTGATAATTACAGGCAGGTGTGTTTGATTTGGGTTGCAAATGAAATCTGCAGGAAGGTAGATCTCCAGGAAAAGGGTTGAGCACCCCTGATCTACATTATCTACATCAGCCTGTTCATTTATTTAGATTATTGAAAAAAAATTTAATACATTAATAATTTCATTATTTTATATGACCATTTAATTTCATGAAACGTTTATGAAATGTTTAGAATTTGTCCAAAAATGTTGTGTGTGTGTACATTAAAGCATTGAAGTTTTAGCAGTATTAGTATTAGTATTAGCAGTTTAAAAATATAAAGACTGCATTTTTTTTTTACATCTAGCAACAAAATGCTTGTCATTTATTTTTGATTTAGTGAAAAATAAACTAGATTAGTTTTATTAATTTCCATAAGTTTTGTTTTTTAGGTATTTTAATTCAATAGTAAAACTGTTTTATTTTATAAATATTATTTTATTTAGTTATATTTTAAACATAAAGCTAGAGTTAAAATATATAAATTATTAACGCACATAATAGTTCCTTTCACACATACAGATCTTTCTGGAAACTTTCCGTGAATTTTCTAAAATAGGGTCATGTGTGAACAGGCCATTTTTGAAAAAAAGGGTAAATTAGTTCAATTTTCGAGAAAGAGAAGTTGTAACATTCCTGGTAATTTGCCCAAGCGCTGCTCTATGTGAAGGAAAATTACTAGAGAAAGTTTGTTTATGCATGGAACATGCTAACATGAGTTGTCTGCATTGGCCAATCAAAACAAGTCGCATTCACATCCGCACTGTTTGTGAAAATAAAAGCCTTGCTGAATATTTTCTTAGATACATTAGCTGCAGGATGTTAGTCAGATAACGTTCCTATGTTCATTCTGTATACACTCTGTTTACAATTGTCGATAAAATGCTTATGATAAACCGCTGTGAGTTTACCTTCAAGTTCTGCTTCAGTTGCTTGACGCTTGTGCACATGAAGCAGCGGGTGAATGAAAGTGTTCCTCCATGTTTTCATCTAAGTTGTTTACAATACTTATCCATCCACAGAATTTGTAATGTAGCCTAATGTGTAAACATTTAGCTGCGGTTCGCTCTTCTACCTTTGGATGTCTCTGGGACAAAAGCAGCTGCATGAATGCTAAAACTTTAAATAAAAGTGAAACCACCAACAAAAGCCCGACCCCTTTAATGTTTACTAATACAAGCGCAGCCCTTTAGAGGCCATTTCTGGTTAATGATCTCAGAATTTACTGGTATTTTAGAATATATGTGTGAACGGTCTTTTATGGAAAAAAAATTCTGGAATGCTCTTGCCTGTGTGAACTTTTACATTTATTGAATTTACCGGTAAAGTCTTTCTGGTAATTTTTCGGATATTTACCACTATCACTGTGTGAAAGGGGCTATTGTGTATATGTAATAAATAATTTAGTTTGAAAACATTTTTTTTTATCAGACTCTTAAATATCTTTCTCAAATAGTTTTGTTGTTGGAAAAGCAAAAATGGCTATTTACCTAATAAGAAAAGAAAAGATGGTGCCACTTTATATCAAGTGTCCTTAACTACTATGTACTTACATCAAAAAATAGATACAATGTACTTACTGTGTTTATAATGTATTTGAGAACACTTGTGGTGCTTTTGAGTTGGGATAGGGGTAAGGTTATGGAAAGGTTTGTTGGTATGGGTAGGTTTAAGGGTGGGTTAAGGTGTAAGTGATGGTCAAAAGTGTATTTACCAATGTTATTACTAAAGTTAATTACAGATGTAATTACATACATGTATTTAATCAAGCATAAGTACACAGTAAATGCAGTAAGTGCATATTAGTTAAGGCCACTTCATATAAAGGTTTATTTCAAGTGAGAATGTATTTAGATTTCTTATTTGATATAAATGTGGGTAATAAACATTGTGTGAAACTATGAAGAAATTCTAAGCTCTGTTAAAAATGGAGGACACATTTTTGTAACATGTCTTGAGTGAAATGTACATACATTTTTTTAATGCTGCAAAATTGAGTTAAAATAGCTCTCTAATTCAGGGTATCCGCGGGGTCTTAAAAAGTCCTACATTTTAAAAACACAATTTTAGCTCTTAAAGTCTTAAATTCACTGAAATATTGCCTTTTTGGTCTTAAATCATTTTAAATGGGTCTTAATTGTCCTTTTTTTGTGTGAAGCTATCTTTCCTAGTACTTGGTTGCAGCTGGAAGGGTATCCACTGTGTAAAACATATGCTATAGTAGTTGGAGGTTCAATCCGCTGTGGCGACCCCTGATAAGTAAGGGGCTAAGCAGTAGAAAAATTAATAAATAAATGTAAAGCTACCTTAAAGATCCAACACATATCCAGTCACCAACAATACATTTCAATAAAATCTTTAGCCAAACTATATTAATAACTATTATTAGAGCAGTCTGTTGTGCATACATTTAGTTTTTTAACAGTTTTTGTACACATCTAGGTTCTACTTGTTTTGACAGTTTATTTAAAATATATAAGTTATTATATAAGTAATATGAAGCATAAGAAATAACTAATTAGAAAGAAGAAAAAAAACTTCTGCTTGGCCATTAAAAAATCCTAGCGTTTATTGCTGTATACGTCTGAATTTTCAATCTTCGTGGTCTTAAAAAGGTCTTAAAAGTCTTAAATTGTACTTGGTGCAACCTTCGGAAACCCTGTAATTTTTGTAATGTCAAGAGTAAAATGTACATTTGTTAATACATTGTATTATTATTATTATTACTATTATTCTTATAACATAGAAAATTATTAATGTTAAATGTTGTTAAAAAAAGTTAAATATTGTTAAATAAAGTAGAACTAAAAAAACTTTTCTTCTAATATTAAACAGGGAATGTTATGGAGGATCCGAGCTCATCTGAAGCACAGCAGGAGCTCAGTCAGCCTGAAGACTGTAGCAGTTCCGGCATACAACGGCAGCATGACCACACACCCTCCTCAACAGCCACTCCCACTACACCCACCCTGTCTTTGTTGGCCATGCCCACTTCCTTTTCCCCCTCAGCAGTGACGGACAGCTCCTCCTCTCCAGACTGTGAGCAGAAAGTCAATGTACCAGATTCACAGAACTATGCAGAAGCACAGGCGCCAATGGATGTCTCTCCATCAGACCAGCGGCCCCAGACGGACAACATCGGCCCTGCAGTTATGATGGAGGGGACGGGGATCACTGTAGACACGGGGCAGGACGTCCCATACACCGAGATGGACGATGGAGGTAATGTTGAGGAGTCGGTGAAGGTGGAGGGAGGAGGAGAAGATGGGGAAGCGCTGGAGCAGGAGGTTTTGGAGATTACGGCGGAGATGGAGATGGAGGAGAATGGAAACGGGCTAGATTTTATGAATGTGGCCATGCTGGATGATATGGCCAAACGCATACAGGTGGAAGAGGTGAGTGACTGATTTTTTTTAAAGTCTGTCCATTATGAGTTTGTGCTTGTCATGACTTTTCTTTGAGACTTTTTCTTATTCACTTAAGAGCTCTTAAGTTCAAATGTAGCAATTAAAAATGTGCTTGTTTTAATGTTTTGCAAGTAAAATATATATTTGTTTATTTTTATCTAAATAAATATATATTATTTAGATAAAAATAAAGTATATATTAGTCAGAAAATTTTATTTATATATATATATATATATATATATATATATATATATATATATATATATATATATATATATTTATAGTCCAATTCCAGGTTATTGAAACTTTTAGTAATTTTTAAATAATAATCAAAATTAATTAGTTTAATTTTTTTTTCATTGTTTGAATTGTTTGTTTTATTGTTTTGCAAGACTTAAAAACAATTATTTTAAAAAGTTTTAAAATTGCTTATTTTTAATTGAATAGTATAAATATTTTTTTAAGTAAAAATGAAGGAATAAAATAAATTAGTTAAATATTTTGTTTTCTATTCATTTAATCACTTTAAGTTGAAATATAGGGATTCAAATTTGTTTCTTTTATTGTTTTGCAAGACTTCTAAACATATTTTATTTTTAATTAAACAGTCAAATAATTATACTTTATTCATTCCAATTCCAGGTTATTGAAACTTCATTTACTTATTTTTAAATAAAAATCAAGGAAAAATAAATTAGTTTAATTAGTCTTGTTTCAACTATAATACTATAGTATACTATAACTATATATATATAGATACATAAATTTATTCATTTTTCGGTCCCTTTGTTAATCTTGGGTCACCACAGCAGAATGAATCGCCAACTTATCCAGCATATGCTTTACACAGCAGATGCTCTTCCAGCTGCAACCCATCACTGGGAAACACCCTTACACATTTATTCACACTCATACAATATGAACAATTTTAGCTTACCCAATTCACCTAGCGCATGTCTTTAGACTTGTGGGGCAAACCGGAGCACCCAGAGGAAACCCACGCGAACACATTGCAGAGATGTATGGATGCAGCCAAGTTATTATTTGTTGTTCCTAAAACTTGGATAGGCGACAAGAGATTTGTCAGGTAGTGTGTGTATTTGCTTGAACCACATTTCCAAATTGGCAAGCATAGCCAATCATGTTTTTTTGTTTTGGATGAGTTTTTAATTTCCACAACCTAGATTATTTTAGCATCATTATCATTTTTTTTTTTTTTCTGTGTTCTTTTTATGTGATTTCTCCTCCAGGTTGTGGTTATAACTTAATCTGCATTTCTGTAAGTCACTGTAGTGATGCAGCATCTGATAAGCTCATACGTGATAAATAATAGATATGGCAATTTCAGCAGTGATTTTAGAAACTGGGTGACCTGAAGACTGAACTTTCCCCTGAATATGATGATTGTGTGATGTGATGATGACACTTCCGCCCTCCATCAGACAATCAACAATGGGTTCTGCAGAGCTGCTCTCTGGCAGCACAATGCAAACCTTCATCAGCAAAATATCCACTGTCTTAAAGGCCTTTGTGCTCCAGTCACAAACATGTGATGTGCTGCTGCTGCTTTAAGGGGAGAATCTTGATTTCAGCATTAGGCTTCTTGATTTTGCTTCTCTTTCACTATACTGCTCAAACATTTGGAGGCAGTAGGAAGCTTATAATATTTTTGTTAGGTAAGATCAGCAAGCTTGCATTTAATGGAAGAATGTATACAAAAAGACAATAATAACATTAATAAATCTTATTGCAGTTTAAAAAAAAAAAAACATTTTCTTTTTGATATATAAATTTAATGCTTTAAATGAATGCTCAATAATTTCTTGTTGTTTATATTGTTAAAAACAGTTGCTCTGCAAATTAAAAACTAATATTTATAAAGCACAATTCAGACATTTAAACAAAGTGTTTTATAATAACAAAAAGTTTGAAAGAATCAAAATAATCACAAAATATGCAACAAAAAAAGGGGGAAAAACAACAACGAAAAATTTAAATGTGTAGAAACGGATTACAAATGTGTTAAAACGGGTTGAAAAAGATGTAAAGATTTAAAAAGTAAAGTAAAGTAGGTCTGCACAATATATCATCTCAGCATCGATATCAGTGTGCACATACACAATAGTCACATTGCAGGATCTGCAATGTTGAGTTGGGATTATATAGTTTAGGGTTATATATATTATTCATTCATTCTCTTTTTGGCTTAATCCCTTGATTAAAAAGGGGTAACCGCAAGCGGAATGAACCACCAACTTATCCAGCATATTTTTTACGCAGCAGATACCCTTCCAGCTGCTCAAAACAAAATAAACCTTTGAAATTGAAATTGAACAGTAGAACTGTGACTCAATGCGAGCCAACACATATCAGTGATTCAGCATCAACATTTAATATTAGTGTTTCATGTGTCTGTTTTTTTATTTATTTATTTTATTTTTTTTACCGAATGTTGACAAATTTTCTACGATTTTCAGATTTTTTTAAAGAACAGAATGTTCAAAACAGCTTTATTCATTCGTTCATTTTCTTGTCGGCTTAGTCCCTTTATTAATCCGGGGTTGCCACAGCGGAATGAACCGCCAACTTATCCAGCACATTTTTACGCAGTGAATGACCTTCCAGCCACAACCCATCTCTAGGAAACATCCACACTCACTCGTTCACACACTAATACACTACGGACAATTTAGCCTACCCAATTCGCCTGTACTGCATGTCTTTGGACTGTGGGGGAAACCAGAGCACCCGGAGGAAACCCACGCGATCGCAGGGAGAACATGCAAACTCCACACAGAAACGCCAACTGAGCTGAGGCTCGAACCAGCGACCTTCTTGTTGTGAGGCGACAGCACTACCTACTGCGCCTCTGCGTCGCCCAAAACATCTCACAAAAACAAAACATTTCTTTCATCCTATACCTTACATTAAATCTTGCATCTTAAAGTATCAGTCTCTATTCATTTATAAAAGTCATCTTTAATACATTTTTCTACAAATGTCTGTTGTTTTATTTATATATAAAGAATGTATTTTATTTTTATATACAAAATTTGTAGTTTTTACATTATATTTAATAAAGAAAAAGCATGATACCATATATAACAATAAAAAACTATGTGTTAAAAATGATTTTATTGCCCAACAATGTTATAATCTCCAGTTATTACAAACAAAATCAGTCACACGTCAAAATAAAACTCACTGTGTAACTTAATATTATTTAATAATAAACTACCTATCCATTAACAGATAGATTTAGCTTCAGATGCAATGGTTTTCAACTTTAACTTATTGATCGTGTCTGCGCTTATTAAATGGGATGTTGTTGTTTTTTGTATATAAGAGGCCCATCAGAGTGATTTGAGTAGTCCCATTTGGCTTTAATCTCTTCTATCAGACATTTTTTCGACCGAGAAATGACACAGGCTTTTCCCCAAAAGATGATAAGACGATGTACAAGAGACATCGTTGTAGGAAAAAAAAAATCATCAGCTGGTAAATACATTTGTAAAAAAAAATAAAAATACACTATTATTTTGTGCGCCAGAACAGATGTTGCATGTGATTGTGACTCAGCATAGCCCTGTTTATCAGTGTGCAGGTGGATTGTGACCTTCAGCCTGTGCCGTCAGTTGTCAGATCTGTTAGCTAGTTAAAATGGTTTGACTTTTGAACGTATTTGTCTAAACGTTTCCTTTTCTTGGAAAGGTCGAGAGCATATTGAGAAACGTGACGTGCTTGCGGATCTAGTTGTGCTCAGCATAATCAAGTTTTGACGCTTTTTTTTTTATCAGACAGAATTTACTAACCTGGAAATCATGAATCAAACGATGTTTCTATCATAACATGCAATATTCAAGTATTATTTATTAGTTCAGCTGTAAAAGACTTGATGCACATAAACACACAAAGCTGGACATCGGCATAAAACTTCTTAGGCCCCGTTTACACTAGTGCGTTTTAGTTTTAAAACGGCGTTGTAGAATGAAAACGATCCGCGTCCACACTCGCGTTTTACCCAGCGTTTCTGAACAGCTCTCCGTCCACACCAAAACACTGAAAACGCACATCACGTGACCACACACACACTCTCGGGCAAGCGCTCCAGCATTTCTACCCAGATGAGAGCTCTGCTTGTCGGACTGCTCATCAAGCATCTCCCGCTGGATCTAATCTCACTATATTTGCTAAACGTGATATTTCATTCATGTTGTTGTCTTTATCTAACGACATAGGCCAATTCCCTGACTTGGTCATTGGAATCTATTAAGTTACTTGTTCACGGGTAACATGTTTTGGTTAAGCGCAAAGATAAGTTAATGATTAATCCAGGTACATTGACTGATCGCTTGCCTTTATTTCCTACAATGTATAAACTTATTGTATGTTATACTTTTATAATTATCGATTATTAAAACTGATATTCAGCAAAAGAGAGGGTGTGTTTCGTATTTTCACTGAAATTGAAAGGAGACCGTTGTTATCGGCTCCGTTTTGTTATAAATATCCACACAGTGAAGATGACGCTCATGCAGCACGGCGCCTCAACATTTCTGCTGTCTGTTTAGTTGCTAATATTAAAATGAAAATAGGCAGTTCCTTAAATCCTGTTTACATTTTATTGTTGAGAAAGTGAAACAACGTAACCAAGGTGATGTGAATGAAGTTATAAAGTACACTGTTCCCTTTGAAGATTTACCCGTGTCCTCTGTATGTTTTCCATATCAAACTGAGAAGGGGGAGACTGCAGCCTTGATCAAACTTGCAGGTCTTAACTTACAAGAAGAGGATGCAGGACTGAACTGTGTGTTAGGCTACTTAATATTGAGGAAAAGCCCCAATCAGATAGGCGAACGTTTGCAGCCCCGCCTCCGTTTTCAGATGTCTCCGTCTTTCCCCATCCACACTGAGACGGAGGAGCAGCGTTTCAGAATGAAAACGGCTTCTCCAGCGTTTTCAAAAAGCTCCGTTTTCGGCGCTCGAG